GACTAATTTAGGTGGGAGACAATGGACAGCTGACCTGGAAATGAAATTAAAATAAGGTAGTCTGTGTACCTGCAGTGGTAGCAGGCATGATGCAGTGATGAAGGAGTTGTAAAGAATAAGGGATGGTTAAGACGTCCGCTGATACCACTTGGTGGCTTTTGGTTCTATTAGCGTGTGTTAGGTGTGTTTATATTGGCAGAAAAATCTAAAAGGACCCTTATAAAAGGGGCTCCTTAAAACAACAGTAGTAAGAAATTCTTCCTCTATCATTTAGTATCAATAGAAAACATTGTCTGTTTTATCATTTTACAGTTGTGAGAGAGTAACAGAGTGTTTATTATAGGAGGGTAAGAAAAGTCCTCTGGCCTAGTTAGTATTTCCAAGAATCTGTGTAGAACTTGATTCTTAGTAATCTCAAACCAAATACCCTGGAACTACCCATAGCAACAACAGAGTTCATTGTGTGTGTGTGGCTAAAAGGGGAAGATGAGTAGTTTTCATTTATTCCTACAGCGCCTTGAAGGCTCTGTTTAGCTTTTGAAATCTGTAAAGGTTGTGATTAGGGTAAAAATGGAAAAAGCATCTGATTTGTTGGGTGAAATTTAAAGAATTAAGAGTAATTGTTAATGCATTTCATTCGTTGTAATTCTTAATTATAGGCATTGAAGAAGAGTGCCCCTGTTAAAGTAATTAAAAGCTATTATTTAATTTGACAGACTGAAGTGGCTTACTGGGAGAGAAATCCATGATAAAAAAGTACAAGTGAATACCTAAGGAACAGGTGTTTCAGGGATGAAGTGTTCTGCATAAGGAGATCATCTTTGGAGAGACAAATCCATGACTTAAGAAATAAGACTAAGCATTTTTGCCTAATAAAACCTTGTATATAATGATACTTAATTTTATTAGGGAAAGTGGTTATCCTCAGTTCTTATGAGTCTGTATAGAAACCGCTAGGAGCCCTCACTGACTCTCCAGATACACAGGTCACAGCTAAGTTACCGTTTTGTTGCACAGGTATACATACATATATTAATTTTGTAACAATTTCCAAGAGCCTTTTTAACCAGCCCTTCTTTCAATCCCTGCTCCTTCCCCAAGGATAATAACTGTCACACTTTGTTTTCTATCTTTCCAAGCTTATTCCGTATATTTATATATTTGCACCTGTGGGAAATGCAAAGGACTGTTTTGTGTGCTTCATTCTTTAAATATCACACAGTACTATCTCTGTGATGCTTTTTTTTCACAGAAAAATGTGTTTTGGAACGTTTGCCATGTTAGAACCTGTAAAACCAGGTTACTCTTTTAATTGTTGCGGATTACTCACAGGCTGGGCATTTAGTCATTCCCCTGCTGAGGAGCGTTGAAGTGGTTCCTATTTTCCCCCCATGTTTTCCTGTAATGTCACAATGGACGTCCAAAATACTGTCTCATTAGAGGCAGTATTACCAGTTACCGTGATGCTCCCTTTCACTTGATGATAAATTGTTACAGTGAAGGTTTAGTACAGTTAAAACTTTCAAAATCTCTCATTAAAAACATTACTCGAATTCTGGTAATGGCAGCACGTAGAGTCTGGCATTTCCTCTCTGCAAAAAGCAAATATAAAACTGGACAGTTGTTGAAAACCGCCATTTAGGAGTATTGGAAACTGACCAAAGGCAGTTAAAAAATTGATCTTGCAGGACTGTCAGCGCTTGGGGTGAGCGCATTGCGAGTCCGTGGCCTTCCTGCCGGTGATCTGTCCAGATTCCTGTGCAGCTGTACCCCACCCGCACTAGCTTGGGACTGGCTGAGAAAACCAGCAGCTTTGCTGCCTAAGTGAGGGTGGGGCGTGACTTGATTCAAGAAAGGGGGTGAGAGGGACATAGAAGCCTGCAGCTTTGCTGGTGACCAGTGGTGGATTTGGTTAGAAACCAATGGGAAAACCCTGCTGCCTTGGTAGCTCAAGGTTGCGGACCTGGTTTGGGATGAGCAGTGGACCAGTAGACATTTAATAGGGAAACTATGGAAATGAAGCCATGGAAGGGCTGGGAAACTACATACGTGCAGGCGAGACCCTGAGGGAGCCTAGCAAAAACTTTCAGACCAAGGGGGACTGGAGAACTGGCTGCTACTTTGAATGCATCCCCAGTCTGTACACAGATCAACTGGCAGCGGGTGGAAAGTCTTACAGACTTGAGGTGTTTGAGCATAACCTTTGCCATAGGCATTGGCTGGGAATTAAGCTGTACAGACATAGGCACAAACCCTAGGAAGCCAGCCTAAAATGTAAAAATAAGAATTAAAAAAGCTGAGCAGAGATGTCCCAACTGCAAACCATGGAGAGAAGCAGATTCTGTAGTTTAAATTTAGATGAGTTACTAAAAAAGACTCAACAACTCTGAAAAATAAAACGAATCTTGATTTATCGTAATATAGTAAAGGTTCAGTTTTCAACCAAAAACTGCTGGGCTGAAGGAAGGGAAGGAGGGAAGGAGGGAAGGAGGGAAGGAAGGAAGGAAGGAAGGA